TGAGGGTGCGAGCCCCGCCGTGAGGGTGTGAGCCCCGCTGTGTCTGAGCCGTGACATTCTGAGACTTTTACCCCCTCCCCCCACGCCCCACCTGGAGACACGGGTTGTCACTTCTTGCTTGCAGGAGGGCCATGCCCACACTGAAGTCAAAGTAGTGTCCCCCACCCCTCCGGCCTGTCCACCAGAAGGGGTCTACAAGAACATCTGAAGGGGTCACTGGGAGACCGGCTCCTTGAGCCCTGGGCCCATACTGGCCACCCTCAGCCTGCCCTGCCTCAGAGCAGGGACAGCAGGGTCCTCCTGCCCTCTGCCTGAGTTCACTCCCTGCCCAAGGCCTGTCCATGGCAAGTCACGGGCACCACTCATCCCGACACAAGGGCCCAGTCCCGGCCCATCAGGACCAGGGAGCTACCAGTGACCAGGGGCCCAGGCGGGAACAGGGCTCGGGCATGGATGTGGGCCAGTGCGATGCAGAGGCTGGGCTCGCCCTGAAGACCAGGGGCCCCCCTGCAGCTGTGCTGCCACCTCCACCCAGAGGCAGGAAGGGGAGGCGGGACCTACCGCAGGAAGGGCAAAGAAGGAGACGCCAATGAGGGTGAAGGTAGCTGCCAGGAGCCTCCCGTTCCAGGTCTGGGGGTACTTGTCACCGTAGCCGATGGTAGTCAGCGTGATCTGCAGGCAGGTCTCCGGTCACTGGGCTATTTGGGGGCCCTCTCATGCCGCCCACAGGGACCCAGTGAAGCCAGGGCTGGAGTGAGCTGCACCCACCCTCCACCAACCCCAGGCCCCAGTATCTGCTCGCTTCACATATCAGAGTCCATCGTTCCAAGGTGCCCAGCCCCCTTATCCACGAGGGCGCAGCAAACGAGGGTGTGGTTTGTGCCCCAGAGGGACCGAGCTGGGCACAGCCCCCAGCCAACCTGGGACGGCAAAGGTCTCCGAGAAGGGACAGCCTCACAGGAGCCAGCAGAGGGTAGTGTGTGCATGGAGGCATTGCGGCCAGGGGCGGGGCAGGGCCTCTGTCCACAGAGGGCCTGGCCAGGTGGTAAACCCCCCAGGAGCAGAGGGACAGGTAGGACAGGTAGGGGCAGACCCCAGAGAGAGGTGCAGCGGGGAGGGTGTTGCTCCTGGTGCCTTGGGGGCCTTGGAGGTCACACTCAAGATGTCTCTTAGGAGCCAGGTGTGGCCTGTCCAGGTGAAGTCGGGCATGGGGCCACAGAGCCTCAGGCCCTGCCATCCCCTGGCTGCAGAGCCCAATCTCCCTGTCTCCAACTCTCTCATCCCTCACTTCGTGGGCAGGGGCAGGGGTGAGGCAGGGAGCAGGCCAGGGACAGCCGCAGGACAGAGCCCACCCCTCTACCCTGCTTCCCCTGCTCCACACGGTAAGCCTGTGTCCTCCTGTGGCCCCCCTACCCACCTCAATACATCATGGGGTTAGGCCCTGGATCGGGGATCCCCTGGGTCAGGCCTCCCCCGAACCCAAGATGAACTGGGCATGATGGCTGTGGTTAGCGGGGAGAAGGAAAGTGACCAGCTGGCCCGGGGCAGGCTCCCCGCCCAGCACCCACTGGGCATCTTCCCATGACCCACAGGCCATCATGGCTGCAGGTGGGCAGCAGGTGGCCTCAGAGAGATGGGCTGACAGCTCAGACTGGCTGGGAAGCCCTGGGGACAGTGGTGGTGGGAGAAAGCAAGGATGGGGTGAGTGTCCTTGGGAAGAGACAGTGACCCCAGGGACGGACTCACCAGGCCCCACCAGAGCGCGTCTGCGTAGGTGTCAAAGTGGTCGTTCTCCCCCTTTTCTGCCAAGTACACCAGGAACGAGGCCAGGATGAGGCAGAGGAAGCCGATGTACCAGGCGGTGACCAGCTCCTGCAGACGGCAGGCCTCGTCACCACCACACCCGGCCAGACCGGGCCCTCGCCCCCCGG